CTATTTGGGGTATAGAATTTCACATCAGGGAACTGAAATGGACCCGGTCAAGGTGAGGGATGTCATGGGTTGGGAGGGTCCCAAAACCAGGCGTCAACTTCAAAGTTTCCTGGGCTTTGCTAACTTCTATCGACAGTTCATACCTAACTTTGCCCAAGTAGCACTCCCACTCATCGATTTGTTGAAAACCAAGGGCAAGGACAAGGCGAAGGCATCAAAACCTGGAGCCCCCTTGGCCTGGACTAAGGAGTGCCAGGAAGCTTTTCAAGGTTTAAAGCGTCTGTTTACAGCTGAACCGATCTTAAAGCACCCCAATCCAGAACAGCCATTTGTCATCCAGGCAGATGCTTCGGATGTGGCAGTGGGAACTGTGTTGTTACAGAAGGGGGCAGGGGAGGAGCTGTTCCCATGTGCGTACATATCCCGGAAATTTTCAGAAACTGAAAGATGCTGGTTGATGTGGGAAAAGGAAGCGTTCGCAGTACGCTGGGCGTTAGTTTGCTGGAGATACTCGTTGGAGGGATCACCCCATCCCTTTGAAATTTGGACTGATCACAAGAATCTAGAGGCTTTGACTGCACCGAGGAAGCTGTCACCCAAGCAAATGAGATGGGCACAATATTTTCATTAATTTAACTTCTCCCTGAAGTACATTCCTGGGGGAAAAATTTTTCTGGCGGACGCCCTGTCTCGATTGCCTCAACACAACAGCAAGCGGGAGGAAGTGTTCGCCCCTGTAATTCCATGTACCCAAGCAGCCCTAAGAGTGGTCACTAGAGCTCAGAAAAAAAGGGGTGAAGAACAACCAGAAGGAGAGTTGTTGAAAAAATTAAATGCCCAGATTGCTCAGGATGATTGGCTTAAAAACAACAACCAATTGCTAGTGAACAAACAAGGGGCATGGTGGTGGCAAGATAAGCTGTACGTCCCTGCAGACGCTAGAAAGTGGGTCATACAAAGGAGTCACGACAGCAAAACAGCTGGGCACTTTGGTTTTGTGAAAACATTACATCTACTCAGTCAATTTTGGTGGCCAACAATGAGAAAAGATGTAGGGGAATATGTAGCTACATGCCCCACATGTGCAATGGCCAAGAGGAGAAGGGGCAAACCAATGGGGCTTCTACAGACAGTAGCAAACCCAGGTCCCCCTTGGAAGCAAATTTCCATGGACATTATTGTAGACCTGCTTGAAAGCAACAAAAAAACAGTTATTTGGGTAGTTACAGACCTTTTTTCCAAACAAGCACATTTTGTGGCATGCCAAT